TATGGTATTTATTCTTTTGTAAATTTCCTCCTTCATGTCCTGGATTCTTTTCCTCATTTTGTTGTGTTGTCTAACTGAGTCTTCTTGTTTCTCACTGAGTTACTTTAAAATTGTTGTTCAGAATTCCTTTCCACACATTTCAAAGGTTTCCTGTTTTTTGTGGTCTGGTATTTGAGAATTATAGTATTCCTTTGCTGTTGTCATATCTTATTGTGTTTTTTGTTTGTTTGTTTGTTTGTTTTAAATTTCTAGTATCCCTACATTGATGTCTAGCCATAAGTGAAGCAGTTGCTTCTTCTATTACTGGGTGGCTTTTGAGGAGAGAGACTGCCTCCTGTAGATTTGTTCTTTATTGCCCATTGGGTAGGGTATTTTAGTTTTGGTTCTGGGTAGGCACAGGAGTTTCAGTAGTTCTTGGAAGACTGCTGTTATTTTGCATAGAGTCAGTAGTTCTTCGTAAACTCAGTATTTCCAGTGGCCCAGCAGCTACACCTGTAACTGAGGTCAGGCATGTGGCTAGGCCCATGTCGGTGAAAATTAACAGATACATCACAAGGAAGAATGAAAAATGTGTTTGATTTTTAAAAATAGATTATTTTTAGAGAAGGTTTATGTTCACAGCAAAGTTGAGTACAAAGTACAGAAAGCTCCCGTGCACCCCTTCCCCTCCTCATGCACAGCCTCCCACATTACCAGCATCAACAGCCAGATAGTGTATCTTTTACAATTGATGACTCTACATTGACAGACACATCATCATTACCCAGAGTCCGTAGTCCACACTGACGTTTACTCAGTGTTTTATGTTCTATGGCATCGGGCAAATGAATAAAGTCATGTATACACCATTAGATATTCACACAAGATAATTTCACTGCCTTAAAAAAATCCACTGTGCTCCACCTAACCATCCCTCCAACTCCTCAATAACTGGCAACTACTGATCTTTTTACTGTTTTCCCTTTCCCAGAATGTTATATGGTTGGTATCATACAGTGTGTAGCCCCTTTACATTGGCTTCTTTTGTTGCAGTGAGTTACCGTGAACTCACAGGGAGAGTCAGGAAATACTGAGGCTTAAAACAGAAAACAGAGTTTATTGAAATGCTGGCATTTAGCCCAAAGGACTCATGTCCAAAGTTTGAGCACCCCAAAGCAGTGGGATAGTTATTTTTATATCATAGCATTTCAGGGTTTCTGCAATAAAGCAAGAGCAGTGATCTTATGATTTTATGTGGTTACGACTTTGTCACAGGGTAGAAAAGAACAGCAAGAGAAACAGGCTGCAAAATTCTGTTTTTGCAGAGTCTGTGGTAACCACAGGGTGAGATCGAGGGAGCCTGCTGCTGCACGACATCCGGGTGGGGGTCTTGGTTACAGCATAGTGTAGTACAGCATGGATGTTTAATGGCCACTGCCAGGCTGGACATAGCCAGGTAAGTATGAGTGCCTCAGTTTCACTTAGCAATATCCATTTAAGATTCATCCATGTCTTTTCATGACTTGACAGCTCATTTATTTTTAGCACTGAATAATATTCCATTGTAACTCATTTAATTTTTTAAGACAAAAGAAAGTTCTCCAAAAAGTTCTCTTTTGCTTCAGGCTGGTTTTGGTACACCTCCAACTGTTTCTTCTCCCCTGCCCCTAAATGTTTCATCTCCTCTCACCTTAAGGACATTAATTTCTGGAAAAGTTTAACACACAGTTAGCATGGACTACTTCTCTGTCACATTAGGAGAGTGCAGTGTCTGCAAAAGGTGGTTGTCACACTCATTTTATTAATTCCAGAGCCATTTTTTCAAAAAGAAATGTACATGGAAGCCCAAAGTAGAATACAGGTAAAAGTGAACCTGCTCAGATGAACACAGGTTGGAGGGCAGGGCCCAGAGCCCACTGGCTGAGGAGCTGCATGCCCCAGCCCTCCCAGGGTTCACAGGCATCCCCATGGCCCCCACACACCTGCAGCTTCCTGTTAATGGCTCGCTTCAAAGAATGGGAACTACAGCTGGAAAACTTGGACCACGAGAAAAAGGAGGAGGGACAGACAGACCGATCAGAAGGAAGGTCCTTGGTGTGCTATGCTGTGCCTGCATGAGGAACCCCACAGCACAGGACAGGAAAGGCGCAGACAAGTCCCACAGCCACGCTCTGGGATCACCTTCAGTGTTATGATGGAGAGAAGGGGCCTCAGAAAGCAAACACCTCTCATCAGTGGAGTGGCCATTATTTTATTTCACTTGTAGCTGAGGAAAATGTTATATTAGATGTGCAGCTAAGTGACAAGGAGCTTAGTCTGACCCCCTTGTTCTGCAGATGGGGAAAGAAAAACTCAGAATTAGGGCAAGAATCACACCTCCTGTTGCCTTGCCCAGCCCAGAGTCTTTCTTCCAGCCCAAACTTCCTCCTCCCTCCACCTTAGGCCTCAAAGTGTCAGGGGAATATGGGTAAATGTTTCCAATTAACAAGGCTGTTTGGGGCCGGCCCGGTGGTTAAAAGTTTATTAACCTGGAGTCTCCTTCTCTCCCTCCTTTTCCCAATTCCTTCTTTTTTTCACTTCTTTCTTTTTATGGGGAGAGATGAGGGATGCAGGCCTGATGAGGGGCTAGGAGATGCGCTGCAGACGTGGGCTTGGAATTTTACACCTTGTGTCTTCTTGCCCACAGGTGATAACCCCAATGAGGACAGGCCACGGCTACGTGTACGAGTACCCATCCAGATACCAAAAAGACGTCTACGACATCCCTCCTTCCCATACCACCCAAGGGGTACGTGCCAGGAACGTGGTTGCCAGGGGCCAGCAGCTCGAAAGGACTGAAGAGAAAAGGAAGTTCATAAATTGTGTATATTTCACTGGAAGCTTTGTTTAAGTTGTCTATAAGGAGCCATTTTTTTTAGCTAATGTTATTTAAATTATCTTTTCTGAATTTGCTTTACCAAGAAATCCTAGTCTTTCATCTGAAAAGGTTTTGTTGCTTTGTCATTTTATTTTAGGAAGTGTAAAACTTAAACTACAGTTTAAAATACAGATGGTGTAGATATTTCACTTTAGATCATTTTTATATTCTATCTAAGTCAAAAAACACAAAATTTATAAAGAAAAGTTCTGTCTCGTATAACTTCGTATAATGTATGCTATACGAAGTTATTACGGACATGGAAAAAGGACAAAAAAAAAAAAAAAAAAGATAAAAAAAAAAAACAAGGCTGTTTGAAGGTAGTTCATTAAATTCCTCTCAATTTAATGTGTTCCTCTCTTCTTTAGTGCTTCAGTTGTCTAACAATAACAAAAAAACTACTTCAATAAATCTCACAAACCTTGTAAATTAACCTGGTGAATATGGTAACTCATAAATCTCTTAAATATTTGCAAACTTTGTAAAATTGTGTAAACTTCAACCTAAAATTTCAAGTCTAAATATTAAATTAGTCAAAAGCATATTAACTTCTTTTTTTTTTTTTTTTTCTTTTTGTCTTTTTTTACTGACCGGTAACGGGATCGCAACCCTCAGTGTCGCGCCCGTACCGGCAACGGGATCGCAACCCTCA